CTATGTCCCTTAGCCTATATATAGGCCTACAAATTTGTATGATTTGTACATGAAAGAGAAAATAGTGAAATAAAAAACTCTCTTTTTGTTTGTCATCTTGCTACTCTACCTCTTATTTTATAATGCGTTATTAGCATGATCATCTCCACCATTCAATTTGTGGCAAGGTCTTAAGGTGATCCTTTGTTTTCTAATTTCAATTTGATTTTAATATCTAATGAGTTTTTCTAGCCACAATGTCAAACTTGACAAAACTTAAATTTGGCGCCCTTGATATAATGTGTTCAAATTATTTGCCATGGATACTTGATGCTAAAATGCATTTGGCTATGAATAATCTTGGTGAAACAATTGTTAAGGGAAATCTAGCCGCCTTACAAGATCACGCTAAAGTGCTGATATTCCTTCGCCATCATCTCCATGAGGGATTGAAGGCTGAATAGTTAACAATTAAAGATCCATTTGAATTATGGCAGAATTTGAAAGAAAGATATGATTACCAAAAATCGGTGATACTGCCAAAAAGCTCGTTATGAATAGATGCATTTGCGATTGTAAGATTTTAAATGTGTGAATGAGTATAACTCTACAGTATTCCGCATTTCATCTCAATTAAAATTATATGGTGAAAAAATTACTGATGAAGACATATTGGAGAAAACATTCTCCACTTTTCATGCCTTGAAATTTGATGAACTGAATTTATATATATATTAATATGAAATTTTTGCCTTGATATTGTGGATATTTGGATGATTTTTATGAGATTTTATTTGATTTTACATAATTTTTATTTTTCGTGTAAGAAAGAACTTAATTGAAAGAAATCATAATTTTTAAGAGTAAATTGTAGAGATTAGAAACTTGAGGATCAACTTGTGTAGAATCCAAAAGTCAAGGACCAGGATTGTTATTTTACCATTACAGAAATTGCTAAGAAAGCCAAAAACCTGGCACGGTGATGGCATTGTGCACTGAACAAAAGGTGTCGGTACCTTGTTGAAGGTGTTGACCCCGCATACAATTTTCACTAATTTATTATTTTGAGTGTGGGTCCCACTTCTATTCCAATTAGGATTTCTAAAATCCTATAAATATTTGTCCAAATTCAAAATTAAAGAGAGCTTTGGGAGGTTTGTTGTAGCCCTCTTTTCGATATTCTTAGAGGTCAAGATAAAAGATCCATCAACAATAGAAGATCAAGGATTTTAATTATCTCAAATTAGATTTTGTTTTTCCTTAGATTCTTTTTATCTATTGTTTGATATTCGAGTGTTCATAACTATAATTTCAAGTTTTATTATTTTTATTATGAACTAATTTATTTTCCTAAAGCTATGATGTAGCCTAATCAATTTAATATAGATTTTATGATATTTATACTTTCAATTAAAGTTATTTGCATGATGAGTTTATATTATTGAACTTAATGCATTGGAAGCATGATCACATTTTAATTGATTTAGTGATTTATGCATGAACTTGAGAAAAAATTGCGTAAATTAGACTAATAATAATATAAACCTTGTGTTAGATTATGAGACCGAGAGGTAATTAGTTCATATGTGATAGTGGAGGAAGAGAAGAGAGTTCGGAGCTCCCCCTTCTTAAGCTAGAGGTTTCCATAGAATTTAATGCTCATTAGTTTGTTTAAAATTATATAGAGATATGATTAATTTAACAAACAAGTGAGGGATTGACTTGACTTGAGAAAACTAGTTAATTAATTTAGTGAAATCCACCATCACATGCAATAACACTCAACAAATTGGTTTTGGAAGCTTATTAGTCTAGAATTTATATTGATTGATTATGGTGAATTCGATGCCATAGTACCTTATATCTTGATTAACTTTATTTTAATTATTATTTTCCTTTTATTATTATTTTTTATTAAACTTTCTTCCTTTTTGATTGTTCAAATAAATTTAAATTAATTATTTTAGTACTTAATTAGACATAATCCTCATGAGTTCGACACTTTATTCATCATTATATTACTTGGAGCAACTAGTATACTTGGTAGAATGATTTTAGTGCAACACGTTTTTGGTGCCATTGCCGAGGGTTGTTGATTTAATTAATATCAACTTGAACGATTTCAAGCAGTCATCGAAAGGCAAAAATTAAAGAAAGCTCTAATAGAATGATTAAATATCACTTGTCAATGTTGTGGATTCGACCATTTTGGTTTTGATTACTATTTTAAACGATCTAACAAGGGTATTGATTTTTATAGCTAACAGTATAATTCTTATCCCAATACATACAACTCTAATTGGATGAATTATTCAAACTCCTCAAGGAATAATGAAGATATATTAGAGCTACAATCAAGGTTTCAAGCTCGAGAAGAGAAGACATGTTTGGATAGAAATCTGGAGGTCCAATCAAGTCATTCGCTCAACTTAGTTGCTGAAGAAATACAAGGTGAGTTACCTACAACTCAAGAAGAAGAGGTAAACACTTTACCCTTAGAGATTGAAGGACAACTTGAAGAAGTGGAAAGCATACCTATAGAAACTAAACAAGAGGATGTCCCTAAACAAGAAGAGGAAAAAGCTCACATGTCATTTGAAGTGTCCAATGGGGAGTCTCTTTTAACCAAATCTGATTTTAATGATTATTTTGTTATTGATATGGTTGATGAGATTTTGCAGGAAAACACTTATGAGGATCCATTTGAGATTTATCTTATTCAAGCAAAGGACATAATCAAAGAATACATAATTGCTTAAACACATCTTCATCTTGCTTGGAATCAAAGGGGGCTAGCCTAGAAGAATTGGGAAGGCACATCTCTTGGCCTAAACCCACACCACAGAATAGTTATTGGAGAAAATCTTATGGTGGATTCAACTTAAGGGCTAGAAAGCCAAGATTTAAGAAAACGAGGGGACATGCCCTACAACCTAATCCAAAACCACCTTGGAGTGGTAGAAAGTCTAGCTAATGACTATAAATTAAGTGCTTCTTGGAAGGCAACCCAAGCATAATTTTTTTTCTTTCTCTTTTATGTTATTAGTTTAGATTTTTTTATTATTTTTTTCTCTTTATGGCCTAGGTTAATGCATAAATTGTTGTCCTTTGATTTTGGCCAGGTTATTGAACAAGTTTGGGGGACAAGATTATGGAAATTCACATGCTAGAAGTCTCCTCTAATTGAAGATAACTCAACTTCAGAACTTAAATTTTAAGTCTTCAAGTGCAAAACCAGGGAATTTTCTCTTTTCTCTTACTTTTATTTTACATTGACGACAATATTTGATTTAAGTTTGAGCAAGAGAATAACTTTTAGGTATCAATTTTTACATTAGTTTGCATTCATATTTGCATGACATATTTTTATTTCTTTAGAAATTAGGGTTTTTTTTTTTTTTTAGGAGTTGGTCCAATTAGTGTTAAGGAATTAAATATTCTTGAGTTGGAAATTCAAAAACTTTTAAAATCTTTCAATCTTAGAGGAAATACAAAATCTGAAAAATAGCACCATTGTGATGAAGATTAAGTTCATGAGTATTATATTCTATTTGAGCACAAGTTTGCAGTGAGAAGTTTAGAGAGAAGACTTAGTA